CTGCCTATGAAAAAAGATAGTTCAGTGCCTTACTGTCAATCTTTGAGTGATATTTACAAAAGAAATTCATTACCAGCGCCATGAAGTTCCCCATAACCATTTATTTCAATGTTTGAGTTGTTGCCATGGAACTGTCATTTTTTTTGTCTGTTTTGGGTATGTTTGCAGATTTTCTATTCAGCCCAGCAGAGATCGGGAGGCAGGGTGAACGCCGTTAGCTAATAGTATTGCTTACTGTTGTTTCCTTTTCCTGTATGACATCTACCTTAGTCCTTACTCATTATTCTTCCAATGAAATAAATGTAGCGCCAAATGTTCGGTTGTATTTTATTACAATAAAAATGGGAGTTTGACAAGGAGTAATATAATCCTCAATAATGTTCATACACTGTTTACAACCCTGTTTACTGTTGGCGCTTCCGCGCTGTGTGCGCTCCAGCTGTCACCCACGCAGCGGAGCGCGCACCCTCGAGCTAGTATATATAATGGTTACTAGTGTTATATAACCATTCCATCCTTTTGGCGCCTTTTATTGTTTCGGCAACGGCAATGCTAGTGCTCGGACGTCTGGATGGACGCCTGCGCCTACACTCCGCCTATCGCTCGACCCCACGCGGCGCCTGAGCCCCACCCGACCCCTCGTGCCCCTCCAGCAGCTGTAGTAGGCGAGTCATATTGCAATATGTGCAACATCGATCTACTTTTAAAATATCCAGATGCAACGCTTGCAACATACATATGAAGACAAATGAAATACTTGAAACATGTGTTTGAAAACACTTGCAAAAACACCTCAAAACACTTAAAAACCATTGCAAACATACGCAACATCTAGATAAAAACACTTGCAACATATGTGTAAAACATATGCAACATCTAGATAAACATACTTACAACATACGTATGAAAAAACAGATGAAACATTGGGAACAGACGTCTACAACATTCATGTATACCATTGCAACATATGCAACATCTCAATCTACTTTTGCAATATCCAAACGAAACACTTGCAACGTACCTCTGAAACACTTAAAAAATACTCTTGCAACATGCGATGTATCTTGGTGCGACCTCCTCCTCCGCCGTTGTAACACCCAAAAATTTGCATCACTTTGAAATAAGTGAATTTGATTTATTAGTGATTTTGTGAGCATGCAAATCTAGTTAAATAAATATTTTTTGTGAAATTAAAATTCATCCTAAGGCTAGAGATATGTTGATGCACTCATACTGGAGCATATTTTATTTGTGATGGATTGGTTTTTGTTGCAAGAGATAAGGAGTTTAAATTCTATTTGGATTTGCTTTGAAAAATTCTAGAAATAAAAAGAAAAGCGAGAAGCTCTTTTCCTTACTGTTCCTGGCCGCGAGGCCCATTCCTCCTTGATTTGGCCTGCTCGGCCTGTTTTCCTCCCTCTGGCCTAGCGCGCTAGCAAGCCTGCCCGGCTCCTTCCTCCTTCTTGGGCCGAGACGGCCGGCCCAGCTCACGGCAGCCCACAGCGGCAGCAGCCCTCCTTTCTCCTCTCTGTCTCACTGACGAACCGGGCCCGCACGTCAGCGTCGCCTTCTTCCCTGTGTCGGGGTCGAGCCGAACCCGGCACCGACCCATCCGCATGATTTCCTTGCGCGTTGGTGCAATCCGCGTGTCCGGGTCCCTATAAAGCTCGAACGACCGCGTCCGCACGACCCGCAACTGGATCAGAGCACCAGCGCCTCGTTCCTGAGCTCCAACGCCGCCGCGAACCCTAGACGCCGCCGCGCATTGATTCCGCCGCTGCACCGCTTCACCGCCGTCGTAAGCCAACAGACGGGCTTCGCGTTGCATCTGCGAGGCCGCGTGTCCTCTCCATTCTCTTTTTCTTGCACCCAGTTGCTCACAGCGCGTCGACGACCTTTGCAGGGACACCGTTGCCGCCGTTTGAAGCCGCACGCTCGCCTCGGGTTCTCTCGGTCTCCATCTTCTTGCCAGGTGAGGTCCCCTCGATCTCCGCTTTCGTTTGGTACCGGTCTCGTGCTCCGAGGTGACCGGAATCGCCTACATCACCAACTCCGGCGAGCTCGGTCGTCGCCGTTCATGTCGGCCGCCGTCTCCCCCTTCTTCTCCGGCCAGCAGCGCTGCCCCTCACCCTCCTGGTCTAATCTGGACCGTCCATATTTGATCCAACGGCCTCAGACGGCTGATACACCATTCGGTTGGCCTTTTTGCTTAAGAGCCCCTGAACTCTCTGGGATTCGAACCCGCAATCCAAAGCGTATTCCCTGGTTTACGCTTTCATCTCTGGAAAACGTATTTTCCAATTTACAGATTCAAATTGAAGTTCCATCTAATTACAGTTTTGCCACTGATTTCAAATGCTCATTTTAACTCCGATTCGATCCGTTCAAATTGCGTTTGATTCGTAATTTCATGCTCTACGTGTTAGTGTCCTTGTTAGCTCAGTTCTAGTTTTAAATTTCGAGTTCATGTTTAATGCATTAATAGTTTATAGGAAAACTTGGAAAATTCATATCTTGCTCGTTTTAGATCCAAATTCGGTGAATTTCGCGTCTATGTGATCGTAGTGACGAGTAGAATGTTTTTATACACTTTTCAAACTGTTTTCTTGCTGGTGGTGTACTGTTCTAATTAAATCTATTTGTTTTTGTCTCGTGTATGATTGCTCGGATGACTGTATGTTGCTGCTTAGTGTTGTTGATCGAGTATAGATGGTGAGGTTTACGTTGGTGATCAAGAGAACTTCTACGACCAGCAAGACTTTCAGGAGAACTTTGATCAAGGCAAGTATAGCTAAGGACCTTCCTTGTTGTCCTATTCATGATGCTCACTAAAATACATATGCATATGTCTTCCTTGCTACCTATGGTAGGATTTCCTAGAGATTGAATACTCAGTTACCTTGAAAACCTTGGGATATATGCATGGGTAGTATTTATGCTAGTGCTAAGCAATGACAATGATCATGTGAATTGATTAATGGAATAAGCAATACATTAAAAGATGACTAAAAGGACTTATCCTTTGGCAAAAGCTGGAACAACACGTACAGCTGTGAGGGCTACATGGCTCTGGCTCTAGTCGCTTAAGAAACCCTTTTCTAGCTGATTAGAGGTCTGCGAGTTGGGTATAGGACAACCTCTGTCCTGTTGAGCCTAACTATGGAAGCGGCCTTTTATGTTTTTGGAAGGGGGTTCCTATATCCGATGACCCTGCGGCCCTGGCCGGTTAGGCGAGCTCTTAGGCGGCTTTATATGGTGTTCGGTGTTTGGACGTAATTAACCCATACATTTGAACAACATGACTCACAGTGAAAGTGTACAACCTCTATAGAGTGTAAAACTGTTATAACAGCCGTGCCCACGGATACGGGCGGCCCGAAAAACTGAGGGAATATACAAGTTCTTAATTGAAACATGATAATCGTTTATTTATGATACTCTATTGCTATTCATTATTCGATTACATTGGATCATTGTGTCATGGGATCATTGCTACCTTGATGTTAATAAATGCTAAACTTGATGATGACATAAATGCTAACCGCAGTAAACCAGCGTTAGCTATTTGAGCCTCATGAACCCTTAGTTATCTTGTTAAGTACGACATATACTTATGCCTTGCTTTATCTTTTATGTTGGAAAAATTCCGAATGGGTAACAGATCAAGAATGGTTTGAAGATTATCGTGATGAGTATTAGGGTGTCCACCGGTTGACGTCCCTGCTGGAGCTTCCGCAAGAGAGTTATCCTAGTAGTTATTATATTTATGTTGAGACTATGTGTTGAATATTTATTCGCTGTGTAATAAACATTGTGTTGGTACAATTCACAATTTGTCCACTTATGTGTGCGATCGTTCCTGGGGTGCACATAAGACTTTTATACATCCTCTTTTGCTCTTAAAATTAGGTGTGACAGCCATCTACAACGGGGCGCCGCAACCGAAGCAGGAAGCGAGGCCGGAGGGCTTCCGCACCAGGGCCCGGCGTTCCTTGTGCCGGCGGCGCCTGTTGGCATCGTCGGGCGAGCGCGCACGGCGGCCTTGGTGGCCAGCTGACGGCGGAGGAAGTGGTCCTCATGCGTGGGCGCGGCGGTGCCCGCGCCATTAGGTGGGGCGGGCGATGAAGCATGAGTAGCGGCAAGGGAGGTCAGGTGGGCATGGGGCTTGAGCGGTGGACGATGGACGGACGGTGATCGTCGACGACGGAGCAGAACAGGGGATATTTCTCATCTCATTTCCTTATCTGGCTGGCGCAGTAGAAGGGACCTCTCATCTCATTTCCTTATCTGGCCGGCGTAGCTGAAGGGACGGACGCGGGCACCGCAATAGAAAAACGGGACATGCTGTTGGGCTGGCCGGCAGGCGCAGGACGGGGTGTCCCGACGAGCGGACGCCCTACAAATAAGCACATGAACATGTACACGTAACCATACGTACATCTACACATGTATATACATATGCAGGTAGTTCTACTCAGCAGCACTGTAGTAGTAGTATAAAAAGACACCTCAGTATGTGTATCACGCACGTTGTTTTTCCACTTTTGTACACAATGGGGCCACAAATACACCACTTTCTACGTGTAGCAGGCACAAATACATACTCGTGCTCTGGTGTGCGTGTGCCCAAGAAAGAGGCTCCTCCCTTTTCCCTCTCCACCTCGCCGTGCCCCTCCTCCGCGGCTCCGCCCCTTCGCCGTCGCTGCTCGCTTCTCGCTTCTTCCCTCCCCTCCGCACCTCAAACATCCCGAGCCGCGGCGGAGGCACGCGCGCCGACGTCTATCCTCCCAGCGGCACTCCCCATGCCCTGCATCCTCCGCCTGCCGCCGAGTCCCCCACCCCCACGCCACCGCGGGCGCGCGGAGCCGTCCATGCCCGCCCGGGCTACTTCTTGATTTTCGTCCGGTGCACGCGCGGGCGCCTCCGGCTCGCTCCTCCCGATTCCTTGTCACGCGCGCGCCATGCCACCGGTGCGCGGGCGCGGGGCCAGGCGCCGCCGGATGGCGGCGGCGGAAAAGAAGGCGGCCGCGGCCGCAATGGCGGCCGCCGCCGTGGGTGGTCTGCCCGGCGACTGGTGGGACGCCTTCTGCAGGCGGATGTCAGGTGCGTCTCCCTTCCCTGTCCGCCTCTGGCTGTCTGTGGCGCTATCTGGTGGCCGTGCGTCTGTGTCCGTTTGGATTTGGTGCGGATTGCGCGGTGGTTGCTCCCGACAGTCGGGCGGCGATTGGTAGAACTGTGTCGCGTCAGGGAGGAATTGCGCCGGTAATCTTGCGTGTTTGTCGATCGTGGTTGGGATGAGTAGGCGTAATGTGGTGGCAATGCTGGAGTTGGAGCAATGCCGCTGGCCGGATTGAGGAGTGGGAAAGTGTCTGTCGTCGTGTTCGGTTTTTGGTGTGAACAGTGAATATTCCAGTTTTAGGTGTGATTCCATTCTCGAATTGGATTAGGTTCCCAAAAACTGAGCACTGAGTTCTTTATCTCTGCTCTGATTATTAAGCTGGCAGGATCGAAAAGTTCAGTTTTCATTTGATGGTCTGAATTGCATTGCAGGTGGTCTGAAATTAACGCTCCTTCAGTCCTGTGGTTGTTTGACTATGGCAATGGTCTTCATTAGTCCATAGGACTGATAGCTATGGCCTACAGATATGATAGCTATTTTCTTGCTTTATAAGCACGGGGTACTAGCTTTGTGATTGAGTTTGCCATGTCATTCAGCCTTGTAGCAGCACCTGTATCAACCATTCTATTCTGCACAGTACATTGAACTTCATTTATTTTTGTTGCAATTAATTTCTCAGAAGTTGAAGGACTTCTCAAATCCTAATTTGCTGAAGCAGAACTGCAGAAACAAGCATGATGGAAGTTGTACGTATAGGGTAGTGCTCTTTCTGAGAATCTTTGAGGAAGGGAGATGACCATCTAATTAAACAAGATCAACTCAAACTTATTTCTGAACTATTATTCGTAAGCTAACTTTATTTTGTCCCAGTTTTACCAAGCATAACTTCAAACAAGTACTTAAAAGAAACATTTTTTTATTTATAGATGTCACATAAATAACTGATGCAGTTTCAATATTACTGTTTCCTTTTGGTGCCTAGTCGACATAACTTACTTAGCAATTACGACTTATAGGTGTATTATGCCTAATTTCCTGATTATTATGACTTTCCTAATTGGTGCACTTTGGCATGTTCATAAAGATCACTGGTTACCGTATCATTGATGGAAATTATGTAGATTGGAGTTTGATCTGTACCAGACAAATACTTTGCTGTCAAGTTTAATAAAGCTAGTCTTATGTTTCCTTCTTAGGAACCTTATCTTGTATCGAGGATGCACAGAGATTTGAGTCTGTATTCAAAATGCCAAGAAGAGCCTTCGACTATGTCTGCAACCTGGTGAAAGATGAAATGATGGTGAGGTCCAGCAGCTATACCTTTCTTGATGGCACAATGCTGTGTTTAGAAGATCGAGTGGCCATTGCTCTGCGGAGGCTGAACTCTGGTGGGTCACTGGTGACTGTAGGATCCTCTGTTGGAGTGAACCACTCAACCGTGTCGCTGATTACTTGGCGATTCATTGAGGCTATGGAGGAGCGAGCGAGCCACCACTTGCGCTGGCCAGACTCTAGTGAAATGGAGAAGATCAAGTCCAAGTTTGAGAAGATCCATGGTCTGCCAAACTGCTGCGGCGTTGTGGATACAACACACATCACAATGTGCCTTTCATCAGCTGAACCGAACTGCAAGGTCTGGCTTGATCAGGAGAAGAATTACAGCATGGTATTGCAAGCTGTTGTTGATCTGGATACGAGGTTCACAGACATAGTGACTGGGTGGCCTGGTAGCATGAAAGAGTCGAGCATTTTGCACAGCTCTGGCCTTTTCAAGCTCTGCGAGAAAGGTGAGCGGCTGAATGGCAGCAAGTTGAAGATATCAGATGGATCAGAGGTTGGGGAATACTTGATCGGCGACTCAGGCTACCCTCTTCTTCCCTGGCTGCTCACACCATACCAAGAGAAGGACCTCACATTGTCCAGTGCTGAGTTCAACAGTAGGCACTCTGCAGCGAGAACAGTCGCTCCAAGGACACTGGCCAAGTTCAAGGACACATGGAAGTTCCTGCAGGGGGAGATGTGGCGTCCGGACAAGCACAAGCTGCCCCGGATAATCCATGTCTGCTGCTTGCTGCACAACATAGTCATAGACCTTCAAGAAACATCTGTGGATGAGGCACGGGCATGGTCGAACGACCATGACGCTAATTATAGGCAGCAGGTGTGCCAGTTAGCCGATGAGAATGGAATCAAGGTGAGGGACAAACTGTCCGAACACCTGATCAGCAGGTGACCAAGAGGAGGAAAGTTTAGGAATGATCGAGAAGAGTGCTATTTTCATCTGTTTATGGCAGCTCTAAATCCTTTTTTATGTTCAGTTTTGTAGAGCTGTAAATGAGGTAGGGGAGGGCAACGGATCATACTTACTGTAACTCTCTTAAAAGCTGTTGCAAACTTGTCAAATCAATCTGGCTCCTTTTGGTTTATCGTGTTTGTGCCTTGGCGGTCCTAAAAATTTCATTATTGTTTTTTATAATTACGATCATGAGTGTATTAGATGCTTGATCTTTTTTGAAACATCTAGAGCTCTATTAGTTTCTACAAAAGCTGTAGAAGGTGCAAGTGATTCACATTTGCTGCACTTAAAGAAACCCCAATGAAGTAGGATTAATTTAATTCTGCTAATGACTCAATGGAGATTTCTAGCTATAAATCACAAGTTTCTCTCGACGTACATAATAAAACGATAATGATATGCCACGGTCGTCCGTCTGTGACTCCCGTCCGGACACGGCTTGAGCGGGCCCCATCTCTTAGAAATAGAAAAACGAATCCCCACTCGCTCATCCTTATCAGCCCGACGCCCGCGCAGCAGCGATGGTAGCTCATTCGTCCACGCCCCTTGCCCCACCGCGCGCTCGTCGGCTGCCGCGTCGTGCCTTCCCCCCACCCCCCATCACCCCATCGCCGGCTGCGCCGCACACTCGTCCCAATCACCTGTGCCGCTTGCTCCCTCGCCGTCCATCCGTCCCCTCGCCGTCCGTCGTCCGTCTCCCATCGCCATCGCGCGTGTCGCTAACCCCGCCATGGCCATTGGGGCGCATGTGCCGATAGTGCCTTAGGTCTTCCCGACTCAGCCAACATAGTGGTGTTCGCGCGCCGCGGCTCACCGCCGGCTCCCACCCCGATGGCCAGAATCGACCGGTCCACCTTTCCTCCACTATGTTGTATATGTATGTTTTAAGTGTTTCAGCCATTTCAACTATATGTTGCAATTATTTTATCTTGATGTGTTGCAAGTGTTTTAGAGGCATGTTGCAACTTATGTTACAACAGGTGGTTTTATATTGCAAGTGTGTTTATTTTGGATGTTTCATGTGTTTCACACACACGTTGCAAGAGCATGTTCCAAATGTTTTATCTGTTTTCAGTCTTATGTTGCATTCATGTTGCAAGTGTTTTATGTTGTTTGGTCGAGGGCGCGCCGAGGGCTGGCGGACGAGGCACCTGGGATGTGCTGCAGGTCAGGGCGTGCTTTGTCTGCAGCCGCTCATCTCGGCTCCCATGTGTCGCCCCACGCGGATAGTCGGAGAGAGAGGAGGGGGTCAGGGGAAGGACCGGCGGGCACAGAGATGGGGCGGAGCACACTCGTGGGATGGGGCGAAGGCGGATGGGGGCGGGACAAAGGCGGACAGGCGTCCATCCAGACGTCCGCATGTTAGCCACGCCCATATTAAAATGCAAGGGGTGAGGGCAAAGCTGTTTGCTACTACCTGATTCACTTCACGTGGGCAGTGGCCCGCTTCGTTTGTGGGGTGCCCACTTCGTTTGTGGGGGCCTCAGCCCTCGGGGCGATCCATCGCCAGGCTAGCCCAGCCCAGCCCAGCCGAGGCCAGGCCTGCTTGGCCCAAAGCCCACCATATTGGCGGCAGCCGGTGGTAGCGTCGCCGACCTCATCATGCCGCACCTCCTGAACATGTAAGCTCGCTTATTATCATTAATTTGCTTGCTTCTCTTCTCATGCTCGCTCGATGTGCTCTTTAATCTACTTAATGAAATACCTGTGCAGTGCGTGTTCTCGGAAAAAAGATCTGCTCTTTAATTGCTATTACTAGTCAGGAAAGAATTCTTTTGATCCCTTTAATTTGTTAATGTGGAGGCGGCTAAATTACAGCCGTGCATGCACGACCGTCTTTAACCCCCGCGCCCCTCCTCCTTCTCCCTCCTCACCGGCCTCCTCCTTGCCCCCGCCGCGGGCCTTACTAAGCGCGCTTGCTCTGTAGCATATAACAAGTCTCCTTCTTCCTCCTCCCGCCGCCGCCATGGCCTTCTTCTCCCCTAGGTCCTGCCGCCACGACGCCCTTGCCCTGACTTGGCCTGGCCACCTCCACCACCGCGACTTTGTTTATATGATTTGGGGGAAAATAATATGCTAACTAATTGTGGTGATTCGGATATGTAGACTAAGTTTAGTAGTGTCGAGACAAATCTAACTAGGAGACTAAACATTAACTATTAATTAATCCATAATTAGCGAGATGAATCCATTAAGCATTAATTAATCCATAATTAGCACATGTTTACTTTAGCACCACATTGTCAAATCATGGACTAATTAGACTTAATAGATTCGTCTTGCAAATTAGCCTCAATCTTTGTAATTAGTTTTGTAATTAGCCAATGTTTAATACTACTAATTGGTATCAAAAATTCAACGTGACAGGCTATACTTTTGCCTGACGGAAACAAACACAGCAACGCGACGTATGAGGACCCGCTCCTGCGTGCTCACGGGTACGTCGAGTCTCTCCTCTCTCGTTCGTCCACCGTCGTTGCCATGCACTTGGCAGGCACCTCAGCATGAAGTATCCATCATCATCAGGTTTATTCATGCATATTTCTCTTAAGAATTAATTAATATATTGGTTATTTATTATTGCATCGCATGCGTACAGGGTTAAGCAGATCAAATCAGCATCCTACACGCTGCCAAAGGTAAACAACAGCTAATGATGAGAATGCCCTGTGTCGCCCGCCATTGTATCTGACTGATGACGGTTGTTTTGAAACTGACGAAACATGCATGCATGTGATCATGAGCAGGTGTTTGGGGAAACCAAGATCACGGAGTACACCGTAGTACAAGAGAATCCGATGGGGCCGGGCAAAACCGATGTACGTAAGCTATTGCCGTCCACGTCTAGCTGGGATGCTCTTCGGTTCAGTTCAGTCCAGTCCATGCGCGTTTTTGCTGAGCTGACGAACTGAACTGAACAGCATCCTAAACCGTACTTAGATGCGTATAATAGTACTGATGTGTTCGATGTTTTGTTTCAATGCCATCGTCGATGGTGATCGAGAACAAGCAGCATTACATGGTGCTGGGCAAGCCGGTGGACCTGACGTCGCTCATCAGGCTGCAGGTCCAGGACGGCAAGGTGGTCAAGCACGAGGACTGGTACGTGTACCTGTACCTGTACCTCGTCTTCGTCCGTCGCCCGTATTCGTATCGTATATACATGCTGCCGGCCGGCTTCTGGAGACGTACCATATAATCTGTATGCGACACGTACGTACTGTACGCAATGAATCTGCCAACTGATGATGCTATACAACGATGGTGCAGGTGGGACAAGAAGCCTCTGAAGAACAGGGACACGGTGGGCCTGCCGCTGGTGGGGCCGACTCGCGGAGGCCGGCCGGCGGGCCGCCATGCTGCTCACCCACGCCCTCATGGGCTTCGGCAAAGACCCAAAACCAGCCCAACCCCATCCTCCTCCTTCACAGTCACAACACTAGGTTAGTGCCTGCCGTCCGTTATTTTCATCAGAATCAGATAAATATATCAATCTACTTGCTCTCTCCAGTAGTCCAGTAGTGTCTGCGCTTTGACCTACTATTGTAAATTGTAAGGCATCGAGTTTACTCTCCCAGAAACCTATTAATCCTTCCATCATTACCTATCTCCTCTCCGACAGCTCTCTGCCATGGAAATCACTACCGTCTACCACCCCTCATCTCTTTGTCTTTGTCTACGTTCAGGACTCAGCTCCTTATTCTTCCTCATCATCCCCAGCTTCCCTGAAGAATGCACAGCGAGGAATGAGGCAACTGCAGTAGTGCAGACAAGTTCAGGGCTCCATTCTCTCTCCAACATCAGAGATCTGTGCAGGTGTCGACAGAGGATACCTCCATCCACGCTGCCGCCCACAGCACGCTCTGCACAGCCATGACTCCACCCTAGTTGCAGGTGGTGGTTGGGATCACAGAAGAATGGAGGGCGCAAAGGATCATCTTGGGGCGCAATAGAGAAGGAGGTGCTGTTGTTGCGGTGTACTAGTTGAGTTCAGGCAGGGGGGACATCATCAAGAAGACGGTTTGATCCCTATCTGGCAATCGTTTCTGCTATAGTAGAAACACCTGAAGCAAATTGCAAGTAACAGAGCCCTACAGACTAAGAATCAGTCTCTTCAATAGACAAGATGGTAGGGTGCGAGGCCACAAGCCGACGTGAGCACCATACACACACTACTTGGGAAAAAGGATGCCTCAAGCAGGCTTAAGGTTCTTTAACCCAACAACACCCATTACTTTTGGTACCTTGGCCTTGTGCCATAAATTCCACCATGGAAATAAAAAAGGAGGCTCTAAAAACCTAAATAACATATAGAGGATCTTGTTAGGACTATCTGCATAAACACAGCACAGATTATCTATAACTAAATTATACATGATCCAATGAGTATGAATTTTTTACTACAGTTCAATCATACAATAGTTAGCCCACCATAAAAAAATCACTATAATTAGACCATAGAACTGTAGCTATGAATTAATTATAGAAAATCATAGATCTAAAGCTACAATAAAAAATTTATACTAAAACATACCATATTATATGTTCACTATGTAGACCTACTCATGTGGAGTCCAACAAAATTGAATTTTTCATTTTATAATTTTTCAAAGATTCAGACAAAATAAATAAAATAAATAAAAAGACAAAACCAGCTTTGAAAACCGCTTATCACCGGTCTGGGAGGTAAAACAAACAGTTTTAAAAGTTCAGGGAGGTAGTTTACCCGGTTTTAGAGTTCAGGGAAGAAAAGCAGACTTCCGCAAAAGTTGAGGGAATAAATGTGGACTTTTTCCTCTGAACAGGGACACGGTGGGCCTGCCGCTGGTGGGCCGACTCGCAGCCGCGGCACCATGCTGCTCACCCAAAGCCAGCCCAACCCCCTCCTCCTCCTTCACAGTCGTCACAACACTAGCTAGTGCTTGCCGTCTTCCTATGCTGTTGCGGCTCCAGCTTGAGCGACGACGGGGATGCGACGAGGATGCCATGTCGACTTTAGACGTGGGCCTCTCCAACATCTCCGGTGGCTTCCCCGACTTTGCAAGCGGTGGCAGCATCAGGTTCTGTCCCTTCCTCGTCTTCATCGCCGCTGGCGGAAGATTCGGAAGGTATGGCTACCAACTCGAGGAGAAACCGGGCTGGGTTTTGGATCCCACCTTCTTTGGTGGTTCAATTCCCCTTCGGGGTTCATCGTCATCCGATGTGCTGGGGGCTCTGGTCCTTGAAACGTCAGATTACTCGGTGTCCGACGATGTGATGGCCGACGGCCATCTTTTCCAGCCGGGTCGTTCAGCGGTTACAAAGCAGGTCAGGGACGACGTGCTACACAAGACGGCAACAAAAAACTTTGTTTCTTCGCTGGAGAGGTCGGCTTCAAGTAGTGTGCTCCGGCCGGCGGCAGTGAGGCAGACCGGGAGGGGTTTACAAGGACCGAGTTGTAATTTTCTTTCCTTTCAACGGTGTTCCTAAAGCAAAGTGCAAGTAACAGAGCCCTACAGACTAAGAATCAGTCTCTTCAATAGACAAGATGGTAGGGTGCGAGGCCACAAGCCAAGGTGAGCACCATACACACACTACTTGGGAAAAAGGATGCCTCAAGCAGGCTTAAGGTTCTTTAACCCAACAACACCCATTACATTCCACCATGGAAACAAAAAAGGAGGCTCTAGAAACCTAAATAACATATAGAGGATCTTATTAGGACTATCTGCATAAACACAGCACAGATGCTTTAGTGCCGCATGCTAGTGCCACGAGAATAGTATTGCAGCATATCACATAACACATAATTGACTATTTTGAAAAAAAAAGTATATTCTGCAACGGCAGAAGGAAGGAAATAAAACAAAATAAATCATATGATAAACCTAAGCAATTTCCTGCATAAGGAAAACTAATAAAAATCATGGCAAAAACTAGTACATAAGTTATGCAGAATCCTCAAGAACAAAGAGAATATTCAGAAACTAAGCTTATAGTGTAAGGATGCCATACTACTAGCTACGCAACTACAAATATTTGAGAAGGTGACGAATGAATGCATAATCCAAAAATAATGTATGTCGAATGGCATGCTTTTGTTCCTAATCAAATGCATGATGTTAGTTTCAACAAACAAGAACCAAACTGGTGTTTTGTTAACATTATTTGTAGAAAGAATGGTAGAAAGAAGGAAAATCAAATAAAATGATTAAAAACATTAGTACAGCTTTCCAACCTATAAAAATAAAGGCAAGCACGAAATGCAACAAATCATAAGCAATTTCCTACAGGAAGAAAATTAAAAAGAAATTATGGAAGACAATGGGACATAAGTATATGCAAACTCCTCAAGAACAAAGAGAGCATTCAGAAACTAAGATTTGGTGTAAGGATACCACACTACTATTTATGCAGCTACAAGTATTTGAGAAACCACAAATACTACCATTATATTTCAAAAGGAATGGATTTGATGCCTAATCAAGTACATGCACTTGGTTTCTACAAACAAAAATAAGATTGATATTTTAACAAGGGAATGTAACATCTCACAGATCTAGTGTGAGATACTCATTTATGAAGGTAGCGCTCAGAGCTTTGGAAGCTTAGAATAATGTAAAAATATCATGGAATAATCCAGTGATGACATTTGTGTTTATGTTGACAGTTAATTAAAATACTAAGAACTAACAGAAGATAATGTGATACGGTTTATGCAGAGCAATTTAATTTTGGCTCCTCTCTGTATATCTCGTAGCTCTCTGCACAACGATTGCCAAAATAAAAGATTCAAATATGTCACCCTCATTGTTAAGTTAATTGAACGCTTGCCAAGAAAGTAAGGAGCTTATTCAGTGCTTATTTTCATTTGCACACATGAAGGAAAATTTAAATAAATTATAGAGAGCACCATGTATCTTGCTAGTTCACTTACGTATGCCAAATGTACCCAGAAACTTCAAAACTTTGTAAACTTTCTTGTTAACTACTTCACATTTGACTCTGATTTCCTTCAGGTGTTTTGATATAGTAGCTGATCTCTTCATTTGATTGTACCTTCCTATCATTTCCAGTTTACGTTGAGGTCCCTGAGATAAACCACAATATTCTATCAGTATCAATCAATAACATATAACTAGTTCAACAAAGCAGTAGGTAATTATTCAGAATATATAGCTCACTAAAAAGATAAAGGGTGAGCTTCTCCAAAACCGGTGAATGTTTGAGAATGCAATTTAACCCATAAAAGTCAGGATCCACACACCATTCATTTAGCAGTAGAGTCCTCAAGTTGTTAAAAGTTGGGCACCATTTCAAATCCCTGAGAAAATAAGCCTGGAAAAAATGCAGAAAAGAATATATCAACTATTATTCAGTGTGAAAACAGACATAGCTTCAGGAACTTGATATAGATACCGCAACAGAAATAAAAACAGTCAGGCTAATCAGGCAACATAACAATGGAAAAAATAATAATCGGACAGCATAACCAGACAAAATAGCAATGGAAAAATAATAATGAAACAACACAACAATGAAAATAATAATAATCCAACAACATAATAAAGATGTTAAGGGCAAAAATGTAAGTGTACCCCATTGTACTCAGACATCAATGTCAAATTCTCAGCTTCCGACAATCCTTGCAAAAGAATACACTCGGTGTATTCGTATCCAGCGAGTCCGTCGTCGTAACAAGTGTAACATTCCGTATCCATACAATCCTCCATAGGATCTCTCAAAAAAGCCTCCTTGAATGACGGCATGCTATCCAGAACAGGAAGCGAGCTGAAATGCATATCTAACCTAAGTGAAACAAGGTTTGGCGTACAAATAAGAGTGTGCCATTCCGATCCCGTATCAAAATCACGTGAACGGCTGATGATAAGGTGTTTCAGGGATTTTGAAGAGATCTCCTGCACCCAATAGAATTCAGACTCAGCGAACTCTAGATTTTCCAGATTCGGACAATTTGAGAAGTTGCAGAGATTGTCGGTTAACGCTACACCGACAAGTGCTAGCGTTGTCAAGTGCTGAGAGACAAGAGGCATGCCAAATTTGAAACGAAGGTCGTGGATTTCGAGCCTGAGTATCCGAACTTCACAGTCTACAATATGGTGGATCCAGAGATTCAGACCGAGTTTATCATCACACAACCTGTGGCTAACAAGGTTGTTCGGGTCCTGTAACCTGAGCTCGCATGTGTGGAGAGAAGAATCGCGTTTGCGGAGGAGCAACAGATGGATGACGAACTGTCGGAACTTCTCCATGGACGGCCGTTCATTCCCATTGACCGAACCAGATGCGAAGAGCTGTGGCGGACTTCCAGAGATGGCGCCAGCGCCGGGCGAGCACGCATGTCCTCACGGCGTCCTCCGCCGGAAGGAACGAGAGGACGTGATGGAGGGCGTCGTCCGGGAGCGCGCTGATGCGATCGCCGCCAGGATCCGGCGACGCCGCACCGTCCAGCTTTCCCCTTTTCCTCGGAGGCATTCCTATGAACAAATGGGGGTTGCCGCGGCGCAAGAAAATGGTGAGGAGCGGAAGGCTTATAGTGGTTAATAGACGGGGAAGGCAGGAAGAAGCAGGAGCGGACCCGCCGGAGGTCGCCGGTGTGGTCGCGCCGACGCTCGCAGGCAGTGGCGGATCCAGAAATGGGCTGCCGCACAGTTGCAGAGTGGAGTCTGGAGTGGCCGAGTGGCCGAGTGTGGGAATTGGGGCGTCGGGCCGGGGGCTGGGGCCTGGGGGCGGCCACTGGCTGCCTGGCCGGGTCACCGGCGGTGGCGGGCGGGGCGGCGGCCGGCAGGGGCAGCCGCGCGACCGGCGGGCGGGACCGCGGCGGCCGGTAGGGAGGCGGGGGCAGGGACGAGGATGGCCGGAGTCGCGAGTCGGAGCCGGGCAGACAGCTGGCTTCCTCCGGCCAGGGCTAGGGTTCAATGTTTCTGGGCTGTATTCCTGTCGGGTGGGCTAATGGGCTGCCAAGCCTTTTTATGTGTTCTTTACGGAATAATTTCCACAGGTGAACTTCCCAAAATGCGTGCTCTCAGCCGGCCCATTTATTAATGGACCACGGGCTTCCTGATGATCACAGGATTCAAGGACCCGTTCGGTCCACCAGAAATTTCAAGGAATGCAATGCATCCCAATCTTTACGTTTGAAAGTGACTAAAAAAAGGAGGAACGGTAAAAATATAGAAATTTTATAACAACTTTAAGATCGTCTTTATAATAGAGATTTTGGTAAAAACAATATATGAGTTAAATACACCCTCCACCCTCAAATTTGTAAAGGCATGTCACACATGTCCACAAACTTTCAAAAATATATTTTTGAATCCCTAAACTTGTAGTAGTGCACCGTAGTTAGTTTCATACCAGGCACATAGAAGTTTCTTACCGATGTGGCATCTAGCATGGCATATTTTTCAACATTTAAGCATTTATCTTCCCTCTTCTCTCACAAATAGATCCTTTCCTCTCCTTGCTTCCCTCTTTCTCGCACGGTGACCGTAGCCCGTGGACGCCAAGACTCCCTCGCCTCGCTGCTACAACGCATCATGCTACAGCTACTACTGACGCATATGTAGGGAAGCTAGCTACTAGTATTATGCATATGCACGCATATAGTGTAATTAGCTGTGACAGTAGTTGTCAAATCTTTTACTGTCTAATGGTCGGTGGCCCGGCAAGTCCACGCGCGCATGCATGTTGTTGCAGGCGCGTCTATATCCTGTGGCGCGGCATGGGGATCACTAGTGGAGAGAGACGGGCTTTACTCCCGATGGAGAACCCTTTCTAGTCCCGGTTCCTCACCAGGGAGTAAGCATTCGGGATTAAAGGAGATCCTTTAGTCCCGGAAAGTCCCGGTGCATAACATCAACCGGGACTAAAGGTCCTCCCAGCTTTAGAAAAAATAATGTCTCCCACCGCTGCGTCCCGTGAGATTCGAACCCAAGACCTAATGCATTGCCTCGCGCGTAGCTTACCACCCCACCTACACAACACATCTGACAATGGATGGGATACTTTCCTTTTGAACTAACCAAGCATGTGATGTGGACATGGAGGACCTTTAGTCCGGTTGGTGTTACCAACCGGACAAAGGGTCCTTTAGTCCAATGGATTGATGTTACCAACTTAAACAGGGACTAAAGGGTCTACCGAGACCGTACCATTAGTCCCGGTTGATGTTACCAACCGGGACTAAAGATTAATGAGGACTTTTAGTCTCGGTTGTTGGCTCCATAAGGAGAAAAAAGGTCACTTTTAGTCATCTCGGTTGGTGTCTCCAATGGGGACTAAAGGTCCCCGCCATCGTCTAATTTATATGCCGAAGCATGCAGAGTTGGCTAAGAAAGGCGAGGACATTTAGTCCGGTTGAGACACACAACGGGACTAAAGGTCTCTCTAGTTCCGGGCGCAAAAAATACCGAGACTAGAGCCCTTTTGACCTCGGATGAAAGATCTGTTCTCTACTAGTGGATGGAGCAGCCGCGAGTCACTCTTCTTTGACCACCGACAAGTTGACGCGCTGTTCTCCATGCGTGTTGATGGCAGTGACAAGTTTCCCCATTATACGGATGATTGTACTAATGATGAGGTGCTGTCCAGTGGTGGGACGGAAGGGTGATGCATAGAGCAATAGCAAGGTGAGGGGAACCACAATGTCCGACGGGCTAGGGTCTGCGTGAGACGGTGAGAGAAGAGGGAAACAAGGATCTATTCACATGAGAAGAGGGAAGGAGATGAGTTACATGTAAAAAAGCATGTGATGTGGACATACCACATTAGTGAGAATCTCCCATGTGGATGGTATGGACATGCAGTGCATTACTTGATAAGTTTAGAGGCCTAGAAATGTATTTTCAAAGTTCGTGGACCTAAGTGACACATGCTTATAAATTTCAAGGTTGTTGTTACATATAACTAAAAAATATCCTCTCGCAACTTCTCGGTACGTGCCGACGCGGCTCACCAACATGCAGACGTCCCATCCCAATGCGACGCCGCCACATTCTCTCTCCATGCACAGCCGGGCATGCTAACAGCCGACCATTGAGCCGACAGAACCGAGACCGTACCATCCCGCCACCCACCCCATTGCCCACCGTGACACGTGATTCTGAACGATTGGCCGGCCGGGGTAATGAATCTGTGTTCTTATCGCGTGTTAGTTTCTTGTACTACCTAAAAAGAGTTGTTATTTTGACAAAGGATAACTTGCTAAAGAGAGGCGGGAAAGAAGGTGAGAGCTGTAGCTTTTGTGTGGTCTAAAAGAGACAGTTAAACATCTCTTTTTGAGTGTCGTTTGGCTCGTTTCTTGTGGAATACTCTATTCATCACGTTTAACATCCAACCATCCAAAGATAATTTATACTTGTTTGGTTCATGGATTAGGAGTTTTATTCCTAGTCTAAGAAATCAGATCGTAGTGGGATTAGCAGCTATGTGCTGGGCTTTGTGGTTGAACAAAAATGATATGGTATTCAATAAGAAAAACTACTAACTCTTTCTTGCAGGTAATATTCAACGGGACATATTGGATCAGACAGTGATCACAGTCGTCTAAAGAGAAAGAGAGAGCGGCTTTGAAGAGTGGTTGCAAGCAGTTATAAGTGATGGTGCTAGAAATCTTTGGAAGACGCGGTTGGAGTTATCGGATGAGCTTAGAGAACTAGATGTGGTGCCTTTCTCTATATTTGAGTGTTCCATGCTTTTGATGTAACGTAAGCGTGAGCTCGAATATGCGGTACTTGGTCACATGGACCTTTGTCTGTTTGTTGGGCTATACCCATTCACTCGTGAGCTTGGGAGGCCAGAACACTTTTCGTTCCTTAGTCTAAAAAATTTACTATCTCCAAGTTATTAAAAGAAGTCGTTTTGGACAGTGACACGGTCTACAAAGCATAGCCTTGACTTCTTATTTTTATAAAAATATTTATTGAAAAGTGATATATGTATATTTTTATAAAAATATTTTTCAAGACATATCTATTCATATGGTTTTATATTTTCAAACTCAACAACGTAAAAGTTATTCATGATTTACATTCTCAGTGTTTAACCTAAGCTTTGTTCAAAACCATTTTAATTTTTAGTATGGAGGGAGTAATTATTTTCAACATCTTCTTCGGTAAACAAATCCCATGTTTTACGCAAAAAAAAATCCCGTGCGCATAATAATTAGATATGGCACTACTACAGAATAGCACTTCACTGCCGGCCTCATCACTGCCGGAATTAGGAGAACCAGCAGTGTTGACCTTTCATTGCTGGTTCTTGGCTCTGAAAACTAGAAATTAATTTGGGATGTGACCGAACCGACAGTGATGACAACTATCACTGCCGGTTTGTGTCTCTAACCGGCAGTGGCTTGACGGCCACATATCACTGCCGGTTCAAGCCAAGAGTCGATAGTGATTGGGCTCTATCACTGTCGGTTTTAGCTAAGAACCGACGGTGATAAGCCTACAGAACAAAAAGGCTGCAGCCGTCCTCTCCTTCCTCCTCTCTTCCGTCCCGAGAACAGAGGCACGCGTTTGGGTCCTTCCCTCCATTGTTGCGGCTGCTCTTCACCATGAAGCTAGCGCTTAGATTTTGAATAATGGCTTGATCTTTTTGCTTTAAGGTTAGTAACAAGCATCCAATCCTTTGATTTTGTTGCTTAATTAGCTTCGTTTTGATGGTTACATTGCTTGATTCTCATTCTTGTTCTTTCACCATTCTAGAGAGCACTTTTCTAATTGGACATTTGTGCAAGGCTCAAATTGTGGTGAATCCATCATCCAAAAGGTTGGTGTCTATTAATACATTTAAATTCATAGCTAATTATTCCATGGTGGTCAAGATCATCATTGATAGTATGTGATGCTATAATTAGTTCTTAGAAGTAGAGTAGATTCTTTTACAATTTCTTGAGAAAATTAATCTATGTGTCATATAACAACGTATCGTTTGGAGCTACATTGTTGTTCATGATCATGTCTTCAATTTTAGACTTTTCTTTTAAAATTAGTGTCTCTATTTTTATGTGGCATGGAGTAGAATAATTGTTCTTTATTATTGTGCAATAATTTTTTATGGGGCTGCGTTTTTCAATTTATATGGGCATTGTTTGGAGCTACATTGTTGTTCATGATCATGTCTCCAATTTTAGTCTTTTTTAAAATAAGTGTCTCTATTTTTACGTGGCATGGAGTAGAATAATTGCTCTTTATTATTGTGCAATAATTTTTTATGGGGCTGCGCTTTTCAATTTATATGGGCATTG